TTGTATGGCATGAACTACATCAAAGTACAAAATAAGGCGTATCCAATTCTGGAGTGTCACCATGACACATGAAACCTTGATTTGTTGAAGTGTACTATATCACCATACAGTATATCAGTGGTATCCAAACTTTGACCCTCCAGCTGTGGAGAAATCCCATCATGCATCTGTCTTGGGCAGTCATGTCTGTGGCTGTCAGAGTCTTGCAATGCCTAATTGGATTTGTAGTTTTACCACAGCTGCAGGGCTAAAGTTTGGCTACCCCTGCCATATATCATGAGACAAATACTGACTATAGTTGTTGAAGGCGGGTGCCAGACACCATGAAAGTACTCAGCTCTGAAGTAAAGAAACTGGATGGAAGCACCATACGTGATAATGTCATATACACCTACAGAGCAGTTCCTATGTTTCTTAGCAAGAAAAAAAAAATTGTTGTGGGAAACAGTACTTACATCATTGCGGACATCAGGTAATGTGATCCATAAAGGGAAAATAATTGGCAGCACAGCAAGATACACAGCCCGCTTACGCTGATTGGTGGGCCATGCTAAGCTTAGTGGTTGGTCTCCTTCCTCGATCATATTTGCAGCCGTGCCCTGAATAAAAAAATGGATGAACTATTGTTACAGCAGAATAAGAAATGTAATGACAATATTAACTTTTCAACACAGATTGTTAGAAAATGTCCATAATAACAGATCACAGTTCCCAGATTCTGAGGACCGGAGGCTTTATTTGGTACTGGAGACAGTTGCACACAGCATCTGGAGGAAATGGCAATTCTTTGGCTCAGATTATTTTAAAAGATACTCTATTGCTTCCCCAATTTAGGAGTACTGCCATAAGCGTCAGTAGGCAGAGCCGGCACTACCATATAGGCAGGTCAAGCATCTGCCTGAGGGCGCCGGTGGGGGGGCGGAAAGATGCGACTGGGAGGTCGCCCCTTTAAGAAGGTCGCCGCGGCGGTGATCACACCTCTCTGCGCTCCCTCTCTCCTCCCAGCCGCTGCAGCTTCAGAGCAGCCAGGAGGAGATAGAGGGAGCGCAGAGAGGTGTGAACAGAGCCGCATCTCAGCGCCGATATGAAGAGCCGAGCAGAGCAGAGCAATGGCAGGGATCCTTTTGATGAGGTGAGGCGTTTGGCGCTCCGGGCCTTCCCCCCCCCGCCAGCTACCTTTCTCTTCTTGCCGCCGGAGATCCTCTCAGGAGACTGTGAGGGGAGAGGTGCACTCGCAGCCCTTCCTCTCAGCTGTCACAGAAATTCTAGTACAGTGCTGTGCTAGAACTCCTGTATTGGAGGTGACAGGTTCAATAAAGAGAACCTGTCACCTTCATATGCTATTACACAGGGGCTTGTTAGCTCCTGTGTGATAGCAATAAAGTTAAGTGAAAAAAAATAAAATTACATTAAATTTTTTTATAAAAAACAAGTAAAAAATAATAATAAAAATGATAAAAAGTAAAAGATATACAGATAAAAAGATATTTAAAAAAGTAAAAAAATTAAAATTAAAAAAAGAAAAAAGTGATAAAATTTTTTTTTTTCTAATCTTTTTTAAAAAAAATGGACCTTTGCCTGTGTAGGAAAAAATCCTTGCACCAGCCCTGTCTGTAGGACGAAAAGTATTTATGAATTGTTTATTTATGTGTCATATTGTCTTCAAATACCCAGTTGTTGAAGTTACAAGCTGATATTATGGGTATTTTTTACAATACGGAGTGATATCATGGGTTTTGTTACACTGCAGACTGTTATTATGGGTATCTTTACACTACAGACTGATATTAAGGGTAGTTTTGCACTACGGACTCATATTTTGGGTGTTTTTACACTACAGACCAATATTATAGGTATCTTTATACTGCAGACTAATATTAGGGGTATTGTTACACTATGGGCTGATAATATGGGTGTTTTTACACTGCAGACTGATATGATGGGTATTTTTACACTATAGATTGATATTATGCTTATCTTTACACTGCAGATGGATATTATGCTTATCTGTACACTATAGACTGATATTATGGGTATTTTTACACTATAGATTGATATTATGCTTATCTTTACACTGCAGATGGATATTATGCTTATCTGTACACTATAGACTGATATTATGGGTATTTTTACACTATAGATTGATATTATGCTTATCTTTACACTGCAGATGGATATTATGCTTATCTGTACACTATAGACTGATATTATGGGTATTTTTACACTATGGATTGATATTATGTTTACCTTTACACTATAGACAGATATTTTGGGTATTTTTACACCACTACTTGACAATATGTGTATCTTTACAGAACAATAGCTCTGACTTCCTTTAAAAAAACCATAATTATGTGTACATAGCAGGAGTTTTACATTTTATTAAGTATTTACAGAACAATAAAGAGAAACATTTTACAAATATGTATTAATAATGTTATAATCTTTGTACCGTACTTTATTTGACATGACTAGCCTGTCTGTTATACAATTCTTTGTCCCCCTCACTGTCTCATCATTAAAGGAGAAGAGAAATACGAAGGTTGGCATTCATAACCTTCTTTTGAAAATGCTAGGGGCAGTCATATTGATTCCCTGACTTCAGTATTTTCTAAATCAATGATATAGGTTAAAATGTCTTTATTTTATATTTGCCGCCTAGTCAGTGATTTAGGAAGCAATAAAACCATTAGATTAGCATTACAGCCAATCGTGTACTATTTTCAGAAAGAAAGGTAAGCAATGGCAGACTTCATATTTTTTTTTTAGTATGGGTTTTCTTGAAAGCAGGCACCTATGTGATTAGCATTAAGAATTGGAATAAAAAAATATGACCACTTTATTCACTAAAGCTGCATTTTAGACACTAGCATAATGCCAAATGTGCTCTTTTCTGTCTCTTTAACCCTGGGACAACTCCCACCTTTTGTCAGTAGATATAAAGAACATCCTTCTAGTTAGAAGAAATCTTTGAGATAACTGGAAATGGCTAAATTGGGATGTCTCCAGCTCAGCTATTAAATAATAATGTAGACACATTTCACAGCATTATTTCAAGGCTTGGAAAAGCATAACTATGGTGTTGAGCCAAGGCTTGACCTATTTCAGGAGCCCCCTGTGACTATTGTGACAAGAGGCAATTCTACTAAAACTATCACAGACAATTACAATCTCTCTCTCTCCCCCAACAATTATTTTACCGATAGGCGTTGTTTACATTACGATAGACCACATGGAACATATTATTAAAACTACCAATAGGTTCAGGATTTGATGTTTATGATAATGCAACATTTTTTGTAGTTACATTTTATAGTTACCTCCTTTTAAGCTACAGTGGCAGGGTCAGCATTATTTTATAGTCAAACAGAATGGTTGTTGAATCTGTTCCTTACATGATTCATACAAAGACACTTATAATGTGGAGTCTATCGGGTGTGGTGTCTGTTTATTTGCCTCATCTATGGTGCAGGTCCTCATAGCTCAAAGACACTTATAGATGAGATGGAAAATGGAGTGCAAAAATAATACATGTCCAAAGGCCCCACTGTTTGATTGTATATCATTATATACAGTTGGGCTGATTTATTGAAGTGTAAATATTCACTTCAGCTATACAGCCATGTCCAGATGAAATAAGTAAACAGGTATGCTTTTCCACTGATTGAATAATTGAAGTGAATAATTACACAATTTATTATGTGAAGATTTTCAATTCATTTAGTAAATCAGCTTCAATGTCCAATAGGTGCGTTCACATGTTTATTTGGTGTACCACCCTGACAACATTAGCAACCGGAGAACGTTAGTTAATAGTACTTGTTGAAGCAAAAATACTCAAAGCTGCTGCAAAGGCAACTTTGCAACAAGACAATGGCTATGGCTAAGGCAATATATTAACTGGGAAACAAAGCAAACACAGCAGAGTGCACAGCGTACAGCAGTAAATCTTTAATCTGGTTTAATGTAAAGTCAAAGTATTGAATGTACAATGACAGTCTTGTACAGAGAGTGTGTTAGAGGTACAGGTTGGGGCCTGCAACAGCTGCTCATGGCCACTGCTGTTGGGATCAGGATGGGAAGAGGGAGGTCAGTTCCAGCATTTTCATGACACACACTACTCCAACGCTTCCTGTTTTGGCACACGTGATGCCACTACTGTCAGCTTTGTCCGCTGTTAGGTGCGCTCTTGGTCTGTTGCATTTTAGGGACATTCCCCTTCATAAATCCAGTGACAGATCATGCTGGAATTAGTTGAATATCCATTCATTGATTGTACTATTAGGGCAATGATCTTCCAAACTAACAAACTTCTATTCGTTTAACTTCTAACAGCAAATTAATACCATTGGTGCAGGTAATGCTGTATTTAAAGGTGGGGCTATTAAAATTCAAAATTCATAGCATTTTATTACGTATATCTAAAACTCCGATATCCTGTTCACAAAGGTTCTTCAAGATAGGAGTTAAAATATAATATATGAAATTCATAATACATAAATCTTATAAGCAAAAAAGGAATGGTAAGATTATTGTACATTAAAGCAAGAAAGTATATATATATTTTTTTCTGTTTTATGTATATACAATATATATATATACAGTATATATTATATACACACACAATTTTATATTTAGGATTATATGATCCTATATACTGTATGTAGCGAGAATTGAGATACCTTCTCCAAATACCCTTACTCAAAAAAATCCTATTAAAAAAACTATAGCTAGAATAGGGGGAAATATTATTACCCTAAACGATATTCAATACTAGAAATACTGTGCTACATAGTTACATAGTATTTGAGGTTGAATAAAGACACAGGTCCATCAAGTTCAACCCATTGCGTGTATGCATGTGACTCTGCATGTCTATGCATGTGCATGATTCCCTGTGTGTTCTTGTTCTTAAGAGTACATGTACCCCTGAATGTTACCGTCTCTGAGGAAATCATACAAGTGCTTTTTAAAAGATTCAACACTCCCAGCTTAAATCACTGCTTGCGACAGTGGGTTCCAGAACCTAACCGCTCTAACTGTAAAGAAGCCCCTTCGACACTTGTGCTGAAATCTTTTCTCCACCAGTTTTAGGTGGTGGCCTCTAGTCTGGTTATGGAGTTTACGGTAAAAAGTTTATTGCTGATGTTGCTATCCCGATTGAGCATCTTGTACATCAAAATCATATCCCCCCTTAATCTCCTCACTTCTAGCGTGAACATTTTAAAATTTAGTATCCTTGTCTCATAGCTTTGGCCCTCCATCCCCTTAATTAGTTTGGTTGCCCTTCTCTGGACTCTACTCCAGATGAGGTCGAACTAGCAATCCATAAAGTGATAAAATTATAGATTTGTCTCTACAGTAAATTCCCTTTTGAATACAAGCCAGAACTCTGCTTGCTTTGTTTGCAGCAGCCTGGCATTGCAAGCTATTGTTCAATCAGTGGTCTACTATGACTCCCAAATCCTTTTCCATTTCTGACTTCCCAAGAGGAGTACCCATTAATGTGTATTCCTTTTGCCTATTTTTAACCCCAAAGTGCATTACTTTACATTTATCGACATTAAACCTCATCTGCCATATGGTTGCCCACTTCCATATTTTATCCAGGTCCTCCTGTAATGTTCTACTATCTAACTAATGCTCACTATTAAAAGAGTAAAATGTTTAGAAGATAGTGCTGGTTTCTAGTTCCTTGTTTAAACCATTAGGTGTCAGTGTCTGCAGAGGAAAAATCCAGTATGTTTCTTGGAAACACACATTTTTTAATCTCTTATTTTCCAATAAAGACTTAGGCATAGCCTGCACACCATACATTTTTGGATCCAGTTGTGCTACAGTTATAAAAATTCTTCAAAAAACATAGGGACACTGTGCTTGTCACTTCCTTGTTCAATAAACATTCTGTCTTCTATCCTGGTTCTAAGCGGTGAATGTACATAGGGAACAGCTCTGAAGAAGAGATTTGCTGTGCAATAAGGCCACTAGATGAAGCCAAGGGGCATATGAATTGTCTCTCCTCCTTGGATTCATCTAGTGGCCATAATGTGCGACAAATTTCATTTGCAGAGCTGTTTGCTGTGCAAATGGTTTATAAATGCACCCCCCTGTATACTTTTAATCTTATATACCATAGGCCACAAGGGCAAATCAATACATAATTAATGAGCACCTAAGAAATTAATTTATCAAACATTCTTTCTCTCCCTCATTGGAATCACAGAATTTATTCTGCCCATATAGGTAATACACTTACAAGTCTTTTTAGGAGTACATAGAATGTTCATTGAAGAAGGACATGACATGTACAGTGTCCCTAGGCATCGTGGCAGTGCGTGGCAATGCCATGGTGTCTTTTGGCAATTTAGTCACCCAGGACTCTCAGCCAGTGGTGCTGACCAGTTCCAGAAAGCACAAACGTTTACTGGGAAAGAGCCGGCTTTGCAGTTCTTCCCAGGTTTTCCAGATTTGTCTCTGGTTCCTGGAACTGGGTGATTTCAAAGAGCATTGGGAGGGATGGAATCTCCATTCCTGGGTCCGGACTTTAGTAGTGACCAGCAGCAAGTGGTTGTGCACCTGTGCACAGCCCTTATGAAGAGAATGCTGGATAATGTTCGGTGTTCCACCTGGGAGACAGAGAAGGTCTCTGTGCAGGAGTCAGGAGGGCCCCACCCTGGAACCAGTCTGTGTCTGGCGGACTGAGGAATGTGTCACCTGTGTGGTGAAAAGCAGCCTGTGTGGCAAGAGGACAAGAAACAGCCTGTGTGGCAGGCGGTTTGGATACAGCCTGTGTGGGAAAGGCGTTCGGGAAACAGACAACCTAAAGTTGGTGAGACTTTGAAAGAGTTATTTTAGATAAAGAAAAAAAAACTGTGCTTTATGTTTGAAAACCCCTGCAAGGGAAAACCGGTGTAGACTTTTGTGTTAATAAAAGTGGCAAAAGAAGTCCTTAAAAAGTGGAAAGCGAGTGGAAGTGTCCTTAATGCGCTACCACTGGAAGCTAAATCTCACAGCATTTTAAAAAAATTGTAGCACAACTGGGTTGACATTTGTGGGCATCTAGGCAATGCCTTACGCTGTAATAGAAAATGACAATTAAAAAAAAATGTTCAGCTATGTTGTCCTAGATTGTTCACTTCTCCTGCCTTCTCCAAACTCTTCACCCTTTTGTGAATAACCCTGTTGATTTTCCACCAACATTTCATGTATTGGTATTACAAGTGGCGAAAAGTGAAGGTAAATCTTTAAAATTGGGTAACAGACAGTAATAAAAAAATGACAGAAATAAAGCAATGTTAACTCTTTTTTTCTATTGAAAAAAATAATAATTAGGATGGAGGTTCGATTGAAAATTCAACTCCAGCTAAATATTTATTTTTGTTTTGGGTTTTTTGGGGAGGTGTTAGATACTGTCAGGTTTTTATTGCTGTCTGTGTTCCCATTGGGAAGATTTCTTTTCACTTCTTGTTCCAGTGGCAGGGAGAAAGAGGGGCAGAATCACCTCAATGAGGACACAAAGATTAACAAAAACACTTTTTTTAAGTAGGGTGGGTTGGAACTTCTGTCAGGATAATATTGTTATCTATCTCTTCCTATCCCAGTGACTCTAGTTCCCTGCATTTTTTGTCCTGGTGTCACAGTGAATAAACATGAGGCTGAATCTTCCAAACTGAGCCACAGACAGCAGTAAAAACCTGTCAGCAGCTATAACCATTTCCCATTCTATCCAAACACAAAACATGTTTTGGCTTGAGTTTTGGCTTTAAACCATTTTTGTATTACTGGCAACTGCTCTATGTTGCGTACAGTGCTCAGCCTGCAGTAAATTATTACAAAAAAATATAAATGTATGACCTGTGTTTCTGCGGCTTCTATGTTGTGGGACACATTCCCATTTTGAATTGGATCATCAGATTCTTTAGGTGGTGTCACTTCCACTTCAACATTAGCACTGTTTGGAAGATCAACTTTGTCTGTAATGAGAATAAAGGAACAGCAATAAATACGTTAAAAAAAAGTAAGAGCAGGAAACAGAGCAAGGGGCACTTTTTAATAGGGCATACCTTAGATCACAGACATACACACTTGCTTGTCTGCAGCTGATATAGTGCCTAGATAAACAAGGATATGCCCAGCCTTTATAGTACTATTTCATGTCTATGTACTGCCTGCCATTAAAACATCTGATAGCCCCATCATTATATTAACATTAACAACAGGTTTAATGAAAATTTTATTTTCCTTGCTGCATTCTCTTGAAAGCCCAGGATGGGTCCTTTATGCCTTGGGCTCACAGGAAGTGGGTAAAATGACACTTGTTTTTCTAGTTTGCTTGCTGTATATTGCCTAAAATTACGTTAGGTACACTTTTATTGCTTTCTGAGGGATGCATTAGCTTTTATTATTATTATACAGGCTTTATATAGCGCCAACAGTTAGCGCATCGCTTATATTTTAAATATAATGTTAGATTTTTTGACCAGTTGTGGACTTTGGATATATCACAAATGCCCTAAAAATGTCGTCTAAATACTTTGGTGGTGTGTGGTACACCCTTCTCCTTCCACTTCCACCGCAGCTCCCCGGACGCATTTGCTGGCAAAACCTGGCTGTCATTTTGACTGCTGGGACTTGTTTTGTTTTACAAGAGCATCTGTTGTCTGCCACTGTGCAAATTGGCACTCACAAAACAGTGTCTAGAATTTAGCAATGGTATTTTGCTACATTGTAATTATTCTGGTGCACTTATAGCAAATCAAAAAGCTATTTTAAAATTAAAAAAATTAAAACAAACAGTGTTCCTATTTAACCCGTTATTAATCCTTACTTAACTTAATCAGCCATAATTAATTCCTTCCTACTTTTCTTTCCGCTTTTTTGTTTTATTTTGCTGCTGATATTTATTTTTTCTATTTTTGTTTTTACCATTAACATTTTACTTTTTTTAGTTTTTTATTGTTTTATCCCTTAATTATTTTAGTAACACATTTAAAAAAATGCTCAAAAAATACAATTTATTTGTAAATTATTTTTACCATGCTTTGTCATAAAAACATTTTTTACTGTCATTTTAACGAGGACAAATTGTGTGCACTTTTTATCTACAGTAAAAATAGTTGCTTTATAGCTAACATTGGTCAATTAGTTTTTATTTTTTTTACATGTTCTATCTATAGATTGCATGTATATATACAGTATATATGTATGTGTGTGTGTAATTATGTTTACTTTTACATTTGTCATCATAACTCTTTTGGACTTGATCCCTTTTGGAAAGTGTTTTCTTTATATCGTTTGTTTGTAGTAAATTGCCAATCCTGCATTTCCAAAAATGTAGGCTAACCCTACATACTGTTTACCTCTATTGCAGGTAAAATGTTTACTTTAAATATTTGATAAGTATGTATGCCATATTAGCATTTCCTAAGCAATTTACATAAAATAAGAAATAATCTAGATAAGGCCTGTGACTGTCCTGAAGCATTGATTAAACAGCCAATTTCCATGCATAAATGTATCTGCTTCTATTATGACCATAGAGCACTATCCTTCAGGAAAAGACATAAAATGCAGACATTAATGGCACAGTGCTGTAATCACTTAGAAATGTATTTGCTATGCTGCTACTAAATGACCAATAATGCTGTACCTCACAGAACAATTTTAAGCCCACATTCTAGCATTGAAAAATACACTGAATAATATATGAATGTAATACTCCATTCGGGAGTTATATCTGTGCTGTCAACAATTTTTCAAAAGTTGAAAATGTTTTATACATGACCTCAATACAACTTTGTGGAGTCATTTTCCTTTTGAGTTAATTTGCATAAGTGGTGCTTAGCTTGCCTTGCCTCATTCTAGTCAAAAACCGTCAAACTTTGACCAGACTGTCCAAGATGTAGCTTGGCTTTAAAAAAATATTTTTGCTTGCATATGATGGGTCCTTTAACAGAACACATCTTGACATTATTTACTAAGTTAGGTGAACTTTCACTTTTTTTTCCGCTCTTGATTGTGTATAACAGTTTAACAAATACTCCCCTATAGTCTTTTTAACCCTTTTACTGCTACAGGCATAAGTACTATGCCTGTGGCAACAAGATGCTGTAAAAAGGCTCCTGGATGATATAGCACCCGGGATTGTGTTAACACTTCCTCAGCCAACTGGTTTCATTTAAGTAGAAGTTATTTTTTACATCCATTTTTTTAACAAATCTGATCCCTTCTACACCCCACCGCAGGTCCTGCCCCCTGCCTGACCCCCCTCCTATGTAAGGCTTTGCTGCCCTTCCTGCGAGCCTGAAATGGGCATGGTGGGTATCAGCAGGGAAAGTGTATGTAAATATGTTCACGAGTCTCCCCTTTGGTGAATGAACCCAGAAGCGACAATAATTTTTTTCACTTCTGGTTTATGAGCTTTTATTCCCAAGCCACAGTAAGGTGGGGAAGAAGTTGATCAAGCATGACCTGTGCTATATCTAATAGACCCCTGATGTCTCCTAAAAAGAGTTGGTTGAATCTACATAAGAAAACAATGATTGAGCCACACATGTTGGGTATCGGCAAGCACACCAGAGTGAGGACCGTTATTCATAGTTAACTTTAAGATGATGACCTGAAAAGGGCTTTTAAAGCATCGCCTATGGAAATTGGGGTAACTTAGTTTTTCTCCATGTCAGGTCATGCACAATTTTTGAGACTCAACATGTTTGGTATCTATTTACTCGATGCAACCTCATCTTTTATATTTTACCAAAACATTGTGTATCTTGTTGTGTTTGTGTGCACTAAAATTGATTTTTTGAACTAAAAATTTGGATTTGATAAAAAATTGCAGGTGTCATCATTTTATTCCCCAGTGTCTCTGCTTTCAGAAAATATATATTTCTGGTGTGCTTTAAGCAAATTTCAGGCCTAAAATGTGCATTTTAACATGTGTGGAAAAAAGGTCCTGGCAGCAAAAATGGTTAAAAAAGAATAGAAGTCTTAAAAAAAACTGAGTATACTCTAAGGATAGCTCAATTTGTTTGAACACATTAGCTCTTTCAATACATTAGCTCTTTCAACTTTTTACCTTTTATTTTTGTTTTCCCTGTAAATTGATAGCTGTTGTCACAGGACCAGACCAGTATAAAAATTGCTCTGTGTACATTCAGTTTGTCTACAGCCTACTCTGTATCTGCAGACAAGGAGCGAGGACAAGATATAAGGCATCTGCTAAAAATACCTGTTTGATTTAATATCTTAACCAACAGGTTAAAATTGTGATTTCTATGCTGCAATGCACGCATGCAATCATAAGAGATCCCAAACTGCTAAAAGCTGTCTGCTCTTGTAGAAATTGTAGAAAGCAGAATGCACATGTAGAAGGAACCCTGATGCCTTCCTTGTTCTTACTCCTAGTTTTGAGACTTTTGCTCTCTACACCATAACAGCTTGTCTATATCAGCTTGTGATCTCTAATGAGATATGATAACTGATATACACACTCACCTATACAGTTGGCAGCTCCATTTAATCTTTCACTGTCCTCTACCTGGCACTTCATTTTTGCCATTTTATTCAGGATTGAAGCCTTCTCTTTGAACTTTCCTTAAAATATTAAACAGAATAATAGAATTAGGGATGAATACATTTCACAACACTACACAGGAAATCACAAAGCAAACAAATAAAAAAAAGTGTTTGCTTAACTGTACAGATTAATAATCTGTAGGCATTAATATTGAATTTACAGTCAGCCTTTATCACTGCAATGCACATAACTTCATGCCAAGGAAAATGACAAAGCAAGTTACAAGTGTGAGAAGACTGCCAAATACTACATGAGTGAGAAATGGAAAATGCACAATAAACAAATAAGCAGTGCCAGATAACATGGCTTTAATTTGATTTTTTTGAGTGCTTGTGTCTGTGAAGGTTCGCATTTTTCCAGGTCATGATATGGCTAAGGAGTAGTTAGTCTCTGCATTTGCTAGTAGTAGTTTATCCTTCAATGCAGTTCTGCACAGAAACCATTAACCCTACACTGAGGGTGCGTGCTACTGTGGTAAATGTCCTACACTTTGGGGAACACTGGACTAACTTACTACATAGAACGAACTTGAACACTTTTGGAACATCCCTCTGGGATGTCTTAGGCAACAGCTTATTTATAGTTATTCATGTTGTATACAGCACCAATATATTTTGCAGAGTTTTACAAAGGACAATGGTCTATTATCATACTGTCCCCAAAAGAGCTGCTTACCCAATACCACTACCACACTCATATTCAGGAGTGTGAATACTGTATAAGACTTATTTAAGTGCAATCTACATAACAGTCACTATCTTTTTGGACTAAAGAAGGAACCTAGTGCAAATCCATTGCCAAACATACAGACTCCATGCAAGGAGACTCTTGCTGCAAGGCTACATGTATTCAAATCTTCAATAATAGTTTTGCCTATCTAGTGGTACTAATATAAAGGTCCTTGTTTGGCCACTTTGTGTTATCGAATGCAACAATACTTCCACAATATTCTGCCTGTAAATCAACCTGTCACATGCCTTCTCAAGGCACAAGATACACTTTTGTGCTAATGCACATTGTCCAGGAATATTACACTTTAAAAAGAATGTAGTCAGCAACAATTAGGAAATATGCCCTATGAAAAACACATGCGGCCAGTTATCAGTGAAGTGCATGTGGACAGGCTACAATAAAATAAATTGTAGACAGCAAATAGGAAATATGCCCCTATGAATAAACACATACAGCCTGCTATGGATGTAGTACATGTGGAGAGGCTGTAAAGAAGCTGTAGGCATTCAGTAACGTTACATCTACTGAAGAGGCCAGTGTCTACAAACCCTACACTAATCTGTCCCTATGCACTTTATCAGAAGCACTCCCTATGCTTTCGCTATCACAGTTAAGTACATTCTCAATATAGCTCCTGGGAACCCAACTTTTTATAGTGAGGGAGCTGGCTTATCCAAACAAATCCAGGTTGTAACATATATGGTGACCCTTAGATTGACTCCATTTTGTTCCTTTGCCAGCCTTTTGATAAATGATATATAAATAATTAAATGTAAATGTAATGTAAAAATAATTGTAAACTATAGTCATGCACATTGTTACATTTAATTGGCCATAAGTGTTCAGTTTGTGGTAAAGCACTTCTCACATTGATCAAATGATAGAATCAAAGTTATAAGCCATTGGCATTGGATAAGTCACTACAATTTTTCTCAGCCAACCCAGCCACCCACCCCACAAAAAAAGCAATATACAGTATATGCAGTATATGCATCACTTCAGTATCATAATTAGTTACTGCCACATAAAAAGACTCAATTTCCTTTTTTCCAACAGTTTATACCTACCTGTTGTGCCTCCAAACTCCTGCTCACAGCCTTACCTGTACATGTGCACCACAATTTCCATGTACTTTAATAAAAACCAATAGACTGACATGTGACAGATAGGCTTTACATTGAAACTATTTTAACCCATGGTGCCCCTGTCCAGACAGCACAGTGCAGAATTTTGAGGAGCACGGGGAAAAGATTGTGAGGCATCAAATAGGCCACAAAGCCAAGAAAGGTGCTGAAAACATTGTTTTGAGATTACCATTATAACCAGTGTTCCATGAACACAGTACCAAAAACAAAACTACAATACACAAAGCTGTTTATCATAGCAACTATTTTCATATACTGCTGTTACCACATGTATTATGTTTACAGTAAAAAGAATTATCATGTTTAGCCATGCTGGGAGAACTATTAAATATCTGATCCACGTCCTATTCTGTATGCTCCCTCTTGGGCTTTTGCTCAGTGAGCATGTCCGCTTAGTCGGTGTCTCCTAGGCCTTGGGCTTAAGCACATGGAATCTTCCTTCATGGGAGGAACCCCTAAAGGTGTTGGAGGCTGAAAGAAAAGAGCATAAAGCCTAGGAAAAGCAAGCTGCATATGGAAATGTGGAGAGATATAGTTGATAGGGAAGTTAAATACAGGAACCTTTCTATCCTGTCTTTCCATGAAAGTTAAGATTAGAATACCACTTGAACCTCAGGCGCCATGAAGCATGAGCTCTAAATGAGTCCAACGAGCACAGTCTGTGAACTTAAAGATAACCATAAGATACTATCACAGAGGCTTTAGAGAAAGATCTGAAAAGATTAAGGCTTAGTCTATTACTGTATGTGAGATTTAGTATACTGTGGGACATCCCACTCTGTACATCACCCTCCTTCCGATATTGTCTTGAGAAACAAACGTATTTTCTATTTTAACATCTACTGTATTAAAGTGACTCATACTGTATATAAACACACATTGCAATGCATTTATTTTAATGCGGAGATATATAGCCATTAAGATAAATGCCAAAATTTTATTTAAAAGTTTTGTTTGCTACTAAATGTATTGCAATGTACAATCTGCAGCTATTTAAGGATAGCTAGAGTAAAGTGGGGCCAATGAGTGCTATTAGTTATACAACCATTTAAGTTTTATCTCCTTCTTTATCTTATAACTCTGGAATAATATTAGGGTTAGCGATTGGTCTAGTCATTTACTTTATTTTTGTGATTATGTGAGATTCAGGGTACTGTGGGACATCCCAATCAGTAACTCGCCCTCCTTCCCACATTTTATTGTTAGCACAGCACAATGAAAACAAAGTCGCATGACTGTACCCATAGTGTGATGGTGGCGATCGTTTGAGTATCTCATCCTGATACGTCTTTCACTTGGTAAGTGGCTGTCCTAGAAGGTAGCACCATTTCCAGTACAGAAGAACATCAGATAACACACATCCATGTAGAAAGATATGTTTCTGGTTTGTGGCCCAAAATAAGTCCTCTCCAATACTATGCAGATAGAGCAATTGTGTGTAACAAACCCAAATGTTTATATTTTTAGCCCAGTCAAGTGAACCTGTGTTCACTTTGAAAACTCAATCCTGTGTAGAGGAATTTATAAAATAGGAGTTTCCTTTGAACATAATTGAATAGCTTTACTAAATACAGCCTCACTGAGCTAATGAGCTATCTGTGTAAACTAACCAAATTTAGACATTTTGCATTTCACAGACAAAAGCCAAACTCTTTAATTAAACATCTTACAAGTAATATTCTTATTAACTATGAAATTAATTACAACAACATACAGGAACAATGTACAACAAATTAAAAAGAAGATGTCCAAATTAAGATGAAATACAGTCCAAATAGGAAACACTCAGGGGCACAGTTGTGTGAATTTTGGGTGAAAATATTTATCAATAGACCCATAAGAGTACATAAGAATATACAGGTGAAACTCGAATAATTAGAATATTGTGCAAAAGTAATTGCAGTAAGTGCTGCAAAAGGGGCCCAAACCAAGTACTGAGTAGTAGTACATATGCATGCTTGTACTTTTCAGAGGTCCAATATTGTTCTATGTACAAACCTTGTTTTATTGATTGCATGTAATAATCTACTTTTTTGAGGTTGTGGATTTGGGGTTCTTGGGATTTTGTATGAGCTGTAAGCCATAATCATCACAATTATGACAAATCACAGCTTGAATTATCTTGCTTTGCATGTAATGAGTCTATCTCATATATTAGTTTCACCTTTTAAGTTGCATTAGTGAAATAAATGAACTTTGCACGATATTCTAATTATTCGAGTTTCACCTGTATATGCTTGTTTAAGTTAAAATATTTATTTTTCAATATGTATCCAACCACACCACAAATAAGCAGCACACTAATCACCTTACACTGGTTAACTGCACATATATCCATAGTTACTTTCCAAATGTATAGGCAGAGCAAGTGTTTAAATATTGGGTGGGTACAGTGGGGTTCATCAGGCAATCCTGTAAAGGAACTCAATGGAAATGTTCATTTTTTCAACTGACTTAACTTTAACTACCAAGTGCTCTACTAAGATCAGCAAGGTGCAGTAGCTAAAATGACATGCACTGATTTTGACCGAGAAGCCTTTTTTTTTTTAGCATGCCTTATGTGCACTTTTGGCTATTTTAGCTGCCGCTGTCCAATTGATATATCCAATTGATAATTCAGGGCCAATGTGTCTTCCTGCCATATAGCTGAATCATCTCACCATAGATATAAACAGAGATCAGTCTCTCCTTGTTATATACGTATGGGAAAGAGACACTAATAAAACTGCTACACACCACACTTTTGAAATCAATCACTCATCCTCACTAAAAGATATGCAGGAGCTAACACTCATTGCTTCTTTCTAAAAATATGTATTCCCTCGCTGTGATCATGAGTTAATGACTTCAATACTTTTTAATTGCACTGACCTGGAAAAAGTATGCAGATTAGAAAGTCAGAGTGAAGTCAGAAATTGTGATCATGCTTGTTCCAGGGCATGGAAGAAAGAAGAAATTACCTTTGTACAACTCAACAAGGCAAAGCATGCTGGATTTTTCTGTAAAAAATGTAGTGTCAGTGTTCCCCTGGTGCACTAAGCTTTTATCCCATAGGTGGCAGAAATGATAAATATATCTGTTCAACTATTGACTGCAAGTGGAAAAAGCTGCGGTGTACTGAGCAATTATTGAGAGAACTC